GCATCCAGCTGCACTTGTCAAATTGAGCTGAACGCATTCACCCATTCTGGCCATGCTGGAGTCAAGCTGTGTGACCCTTAGCCCTCAGCCCCGAACTGCTCATGAAACGTCTAACCCCTACCCTGTGTCTGCAGACAAGATGGCAGGGAGCTTCGAGACGGGCACAGCACTGGGAATCTCCCTCCTTTCCAGCTCCCAGCTCCCCAGTCCTGCACACCCACACTGGTCAGTAGTGGGGTTACTGCACCAGGCTCTTCTCTCACTCCAAAGGTTGGGGAGGGGAGGGATGGGGAGAAACTGCCCAGGTGCTGTGGGTTCTTTCCATTCTGTCTGTCCACTCAGGTTCCCCCTGTCCATGGGGGTGGCTGGCTGGCGGTACCACCCCCTCCCCCTTAAGATCTCCCAGAGTGTGTTTGCCTATGGCTCCCAGACCCAGATGCCATTCCCCAGTGTCACTGGAGAATCCCTGCAGTGGAGGGTGGGGAGGGGATCAAAGGGTTGCCCAGGGGAGCTCTGTCCTTGTGGGAAAGCTTCCTCAGCCCAGTCTGCAGAGAGGAGCAGGGATGTGAGGGAGGATTGGCTCCCCTAAGCCCTAAATAAGGGCCACCTATCAAGCAAATTCAAGAAAACACCGGATTCAGTGTCTGCAAACTGCCCAAATAATTCAGTCCAGTTAACCCTCTCAGGACTTAGATTTGCTTTTTCTCATCAAAGTGTTTTGCCTTCCAGAAACTCACTGACATTTACATTGTTTATGATTGTAATAGGGAAGAACAAATCTGACTCCATATTAGATGTTTCTTTTACTTTTAACCTTTATATTCTATTCCTTTTGCTACAAGTTAATCATTAAATAGATGTCGCCTGTAGCTTAAAGTAAACGTCATGGCCCCCAAGCCTGAATGTAAAATGAAATACCTTTTCAGCTCACAGGAAACACTCTGACCCAGCCCACCTGCGTATGGCTGCAGGAAAGAAGAAATTAGCACACCCCTTCCTCCAGTCAGGCTGAAATCCAGAGATATTTGCAACAATTTAAGGCCTTTCTGCTTTACCTCTTCACCTCCCCGCTCTTTGTTGTACGAAAGAAACTAGCATCCAGACCCCGGGAAGAGGGTTCTCTAGGTCATCGCTCGTCCGTCTTCTCGGACTCCCAGCTTTCCGAGTAAAGTCCTTATTCCTTACGCCCAACACCTCATCTCCCAATTTACCGGCCTCTCCCAGGGCGAGCAGAAACGGCGCAGACTCAGTAATTTGGTTAAAAGGTTAAAATCTTTGGTTAAAATCTTGTACTTTAGACCTAAGTCTCGCTATCAAATCAGGATGAGCTGAGTATCGGGAGGTGGGCGGAAGAGAAGCGAAGGACCTGGGGGGGGGCGGGGGGGGGGGGGGGGAGGGCACGTCCACAGGCCGGTGGGGAACTTCCTGGCCAGCAGCTCTGTTCTAAAGTAGAAAGATGACATGAACATTTTAGGAGTCTTCCGGGGACTTCAGAGCTGAGGGGGAGGTGGGGGGAAGGGTTGACATCACTTGACCTTACTTCCGACAAAAACCTGATTTAAAATTGGACTGAATGATTCCGAGGATCCCACACGCGCAGCTCTGCGGTCACCCGCGGTGGGGTCGGGGTGAGGAGGGCTGCGGCGCAGGTCTCATCAACGCCTGGGTTTCCCGTCAGCCCCCAGGGCTGTCCTACCTGCCTCCATCCTGAAGACTAAGTGTGCCGACTCCACGCCGTCGCACCCGGCTGCACAGGCTACGAGGAAGGCAGACCCTGGGCAACTCTCCATCCCCTGGGTTAAGGGTCCTCCACGCCGGGCACTTCTGCGTATGCCCCATCCCTCGGGCCAGCCCCTGCTTCCTATAGGGCGGTTCCGGCACGCAAAACCTCCCAGCGACCCTCCGCTTCAACCTCCCTCAATTCAGAAGGATTGGTGAAGATCCCTGGTCCATGCGCTTCCAAGGAAACCCCCGGGCAGCTGACTTGCACTCCTTAGCAGGAAATATAAACTGATATATGAAGCTTGGTCAGCCGTTTGGGGTGCGCTCGGAGGTCACGCAGCAGTGGATGTGAAATTTTTGCAGTGCGCCCCTCTTAACCGGCTCCCTCGGAGACCCTCTTTGACCCCATCCCCTCCACGTGCCCACCTTCTCAGGCAGAAAAGCCGCCAGTTTGGGGGGTGGAGGACTGTTTTTGATGCATCACGCAGGAGCCTCAGCAGCGTGTCGGTAGGAAAGTAGAATCAGCTGTGCTCTCAGCCCAGCCAACGTCGCCATTACTATTACTATCGTCATCATCATAGTCATTATCATGTCAATATCACTAATAATCATGATCGTTTTTACTACTACTAGCTTGCGCAATACCCGCACCCCGGAGCGCTCAACTCCCAGCCAGCCGCCCAAACGCCCCGAGGCCTCTGGCCGGCGGAGGGCGCCCAGACCCAGGAGCGCGACACTTACCGTCCGCGTGCAGTGACCGGCGCCAGGCGCCCGCCGCTCTTCGGCTTTAAGCAGCGCGAGCGCCGCCCCTCGCTCCCCGCCCGCCCCTGGCCGCGGGGAAACGAAACCCTCACGTTCCCAGGGCTGCGGGATTAGAAACGAAACGTAATGCGTAGTGCACCAGCGCCTCCGGCGGCCCCTGCGCCCCGCGCCCCCAGCCTCCTCGAGGCCCCCCAGGTGTGTCCCCGCACCAGCAGCATGCCTGGGAGCTTGCGGGAAATGCAGATTCTCGGCGCCCACCCAGACCTGCTGCATCAGAAACTCTCGGGCGCAGGACCCAGCTACCTGAGCTTTATCCGGCCCTTCTGATGGTTCTGGTACGGTTTGAGAACAGCTGCTCTGACAGTCCTGAGTCATCCAAAGCTGAACGTAGCTTTGAACTTAGCCGGTGCCTTAAACCTCTGGTCTTCTGAACAGATGCTTGATAACTGGGTGTCTTAAAACCCTGCCGTAGGTTCACTGGGAACATTCCTGCACCAAAACGGATTCTTAACGCATTCTAAGCTCATGGCAGATCCCCACCCCAATTCTTCCTCCCCCCTCAGACCCTATCTTCTTCAAGCCCTCCCTGGAGTTTAGCTCATTTGCTTTCTTCAGGATGGAAGTGGGTGGAAGATGGAGGGGAGGGGTGGCAGGGTCAAGCGGACCAAAAAGTGGCCCTTCCAGTGAGGGCCCTGTGGGGGGCAGTAACCTTTCCCTTTGGAAGGAGCTGGCACCGCACCTCCCTTCCCCTTTGCTCAGCTAAGAGCCCGGACAACAAGCCTCCTCCCTACAAGGACCCCTATGATTAGGAAGAACATCCCTCACGCCACACAAAGACCCAGGACCTGCTGCGTTTCCAAGTGCTGTGGTCAGGTGTCGACTGAAAGAAAAAAAAAACCGCACATCTAAAAATTGAGAATCATGTTTTATTTAGTGGACTTACTGAGGACTTACCCCAGAAGATGGCCTCTCAGATGGCTCTGAGGGACAGCTCCAAAGAGGTCAGGGAGGAAGCAGGATGTAAAGGAGTTTCTGTAACAAAAAACAGGTAGCTGGAACATCAAAAGATTACTGTTAATTAAAGAAAAACCAGACATCTCAAGTGAATGACTTCAGCACTTTTCTATGTATGGGAAGATGCAAGAGTCTGGGCTCATAGAAATCACTCCTTTGATAGGCACCTTAACCATCTAGGGCCAGTATCCTCTTTTTCTCCACGCTGAATCCCCTCAGAATGCACAGTCTCCGGTAGCCGCAGTAGCTGATGGTTTGAGGGCTGCAACATCCTTCGTCTACTGATAGAGCAGGGGACGTTCTTCACACACACAGGGAAAGCTTGGATGGAACCAAACTCAATACAGTGGCACCCAAAAGGAGGGGAGGAGGCCCCATGGAGCAGCTCCCTGGCCTGACGGCTGCCGTGCTCTGCAGGGCCCACTGCTGGGGTCTGGGCAATCCCACCCAGGGTGGTCTGATGGGAGAACACACGCTTCCCCAATAATTATCCAGGAACACTTGCCTAGCTGCTTCCCTGTCCGGGCCTCGGTTACTTCCTAGTTACAAAGAAGAGTGAAGGCTTAACTCTGAGGAATGATCCTACTTCCTGAAACCACATGAGGCTCTCCCTGTGATTCTGGTTCAGGCATGAATTCAGAAAGAGCCGCTAGCAAAAGTGAAAACTGGCTGGGGCCAAAGCCAGCGCCAGGGCCAGGGCTGGGGGCAGGTGAGTGAGTGAGGTGCCTGGGGTGCAGGATTTAAGGAGCTGCTCACTTTCAGTAGGTCAAGTGCATCCTTAATGTTGGTGCCCAGTTGCTTCACACTCCTCCCGCTCTTGCCTCCTGGCCTCCTGCTGCTTCCAATATGCACATTAGATGGCAGTTCCAAGAGCCCAGGGGCGCGTTTGGGGTATAATTGAATAATAACACAGTAATAGCTCATAGGCACCAGGCCATAGTATGTGTTGGGTGCCAGCCTGAGAGACTAGCTCACCTTCACAACCACCCCGTGAGGGAACTAAGATTGACAGGCCCATTTTACGTATGAGGAGACTGAGGCCAAGGAGTTAGGTTACTGCTAGGCCCCTTGGCTAGGAAGCGGGGGAGCTAAGATTGCAATCTAGGCTTTTATTCCCAAGCCTGTGCTCTGTAGCACCTTCTCTCCATGCTAAAATCGACAAGATGCAGCTCCTGTTCTCAGGAAGCTCACAGCCTTTCACCTGAATTGCTGATGATTCTTTCCCTACTAAAGAGACATTGATGACTCTATATTCTAACAGATGAGTGTCAAACTCTTAGCCCTTGAGAACTGTCCTCCAGGCTCAGCACCCCACTTCTGCTGGCCTATCTGTCCCCCTGGGCTCCTGGAGACATTCTCCTCCCTTGC